CTCTGTGGGCTGCCTCTGTCCCCGCTGCCAAAGACCCAGGGCTCGACTGTGAGTGCCCTATGTCCTGGCCCCACTCTGCAGACTCTCTGGCATGGGGTCGCAGTTACCTCTCCACAACTCCCACAGAGGAAAGCCGAGGTGGGAAGCACCCCTCCCCTTCCTTCTGGCCCCCTCCCTTCCACTTCCTCCCCGTCCACACCCACGCCCACCTGGGATCATCAGAGCTGAGGGCTAGAAAAGCTGGCTCCACTCAGCAGACTTCCTTCCTTAGGATTCTGGAATTTGGAAGCCTTTGCTTGGACTTTGCCCCAGGGACTCTACCAGAAGCCTGCGCATCAACCCCCTTGACACCACGTCAGAGCCCACTGGGGTTGCCTCTTCTCCTGGGGGGCTCCTTGAGCCTCAAAGCCTGCTCCAGCCCTCGGTGCTAGGAGGGAATGTCAGGATAACCTGCCTCCTGGAGCAGAGTGAGGGCAGGCAGCTCGTCACCTCCCAGGACCTGCACACGGTGTGGCCTCTTCATTCAGGCTTCCCCACTCCCCTAGGTTTCTTGGGACCATCTCCCCCACAAAACGGAATCCTTCTCGGGAACCCCATCTGAGACACCTCCCTTCCCAGCGGCAATGAATAGAGACTGCCATGTGGATGGGTGGGGGAAGAGATAGGGGTAGGAGGAAAATAGGATAGGGGAGAAACCATTAGCTAATAGTTCAAAATATTATGGCGTATTATTGAAACTTAAGTCAGTTGAGCACTTATCTTGTGCTGGGCACAGCGCTCTGTATTTTCACAGAAGTTTTGTTTTTTTAAAATCTGATTCTTCTACCAGCTCAGTCCAGATGACACTGTTCTTAGTGCTGAGGAAACTGAGTCTCAGATAGTCCTCAGCGAGATGGTTGAGTAGAAACGGGAAGTCAGGTCTCTGTCCTCAGAACAGGGTAGATCTCAAAGTTCCTTGGTCACTAGCAAGGAGGCAGCGCCCCAAGGTCAGCCTTTACCTTACTCTCCTCTCAGCTCTGATGAGTTCTATCTAGGAGCCACCTATTAATCTCTGGAGATTTCTGTCTGTAAATCCTATCTTCAAAAATTAGGCACAATTTTTTTGAGGCCGGGTGGCTTGGTGCTGTGAGGTCCATAGTGTTGGGCAGAGGTGTGGGAGAGGGACAGAGTGGGTGTGACAGCCTTCTTTGTGCTCCCTTCTGCTCGGGCGTGCTGGCCAATGTTGAAACCAGCTCTCGGGGGTAAAAAGAAAAAAAAAAAAGGACTGTTGTGTACCATTTGCTGGTTTCTGTGATGTCATCATTGCCCACCCTGGGCAGTTCAAGTTGTGAAAGTGTCATTACTGACCCTGAAGTTGGGGAAGGAGGGAGATGTGGAGTCCTTGTTCTCAGGTAGGGACCTCACCCTAGAGACAAGGTCAACACCAGCAACCCCCAGAGCTCTGAGAATGGTAAGGTGTCACTTGGATGTTTAATACTAAAATCATGTCCAAATCATCACCCTCTTGGGAAGGTCTTGGGAGGTGATTAGGTCCTGAGGCCAGAGCCCTCGTGAACGGGACTGGTACCCTGTAAAAGGGACCCTGGACCTTCACTGCCTGTCTGCCACATCAGGAGCAGTAAGATGTCATCTGTGACTAGGACATGGTCCCTCCCGAGACAGAATTTGTTGCCACCTCGACTTAAGATTTTCAGCCTTCATAACTGTGAGAAATAAACGTTTTTTTTGTGTAAGCCCCCAGTTTAGGAGATTTTTGTCATACAAGCCCAAAGAATCTTTGTCTTGGATGAGGGCTTTTACCCAATGAAAGAAAAACCTTTTATTTAGGCAGTAGCTTTTTATTTTGGGTAAAGTTTACACAACTAAAGTCACAGTTTTAGTATTTAAAGTGCACAATTCAGAGCGTTTAGGACATACCACACCTCCCCAGTTCCCAACATTTTCATCACCCTTAAAGGATGATGACCCAAGTAAATCACTCCTCACTCTTCACCATCTTCTGGCAACAGCTATAATCTGGCTTCTGTTTTTATAAGTTTGTCTATTCTGATTTTTTAAAAAATACAAATGGAGTCATAGAATATGTGACCTTTTGTGTCTGGTTTCTTTCATGCAGGTGGATGTTTTCAAGACTCCTCCATGTTGTGGATGGTGTCAGTTCCTCACTCCTTTTCATGGCTGACTAATGCCCCATTGGATGGGTAGACCGTTTTCTCTTTACCCTCTTTTCATTTGACAGACATTTGTCTCATTTTGCCTTTTGGCTATTTTTAGTAGAGCTCCTGGGGACAAGTGTTTGTGTAAATACCTTTTTAAAAATTCATTTGGGTATATATCTAGGAGTAGACTTGCTGAGTGAGTCATATTGTAATTCTATTTTGTTTTTTTGTCAGTGATTCTGAGGCCTCGCACTTGCTCTGCCACTTGTCACACCGCCAGTCCGTTTTTGCTTTTTTCGGTTATTTTTTTAGATAGGGTCTTGTATTTTTGCTTGGGGACGGCCTGGACTTAGAACACCTACCTATGCCTCTAGTGTAGCTGGGATCACAGGCCTGTGACAACCATTCCCAGCTTAATTGTTGAGATGGGGTCTTGCTAGCTTTTTGCCTGGGCTAGCCTCAGTCCTCCTGATCTCTGCCTCCTGAGTAGCTGGGATTACAGGCATGAGCCACTGTACCCAGCCAGGTCATATGGTAATTCTGTGTTGAAATTTTTAGGTACTGTGAAGCTGTGTTCCACAGTGGCTACATCAGCATATTTAAGGGTATTTAAGTTTACCCAAATTCTTGCCAACACTTGTTATTTTCAGTTTATTATTTTTACGATAGCCATGCTAGTTGGTATGAGGTCGTCTGTTGGTCATTTTGATTTATTTTTCCCTGATGACTAATAGTGCCGAACCTTTTGGAGGCAATGGTCCATCTTCTTTGGAGAAATGTCTATTCAAATCCTTTGCTCATTTTTATTTTAATTTAAAAATTTTTTTGAAATGGGGTCTTGTTATGTAGTCCAGGCTGGCCTCAAATTCAAGAACCTCCCGCCTTGGTCTCCTGGGTGCTGAGATTACAGTCATGTGCTATTGCACCCAGATTCCTTTGTTCCTTTAAAAACTGGGTTATGAAAGTTCTTTATACATTCAGAATGTACCATCTGAATGACTTTCACATGTCGTCTCCCATTCTGTGTCTTCTCATTTCCTCCACAGTGTTCTTTGATGCACATAAGTTTTCAATGTTGAGTCAAATTCACCTTCTTTTTCTTTTGTTGCTTGTGCTTTTGGTGTTAGGTTGCTCTGAAGTCAAGATTTAACCCTGTGTCTTCTAAGAATTTTATAGCTTTAGATTTTTCATTGAGGTCTTTGATCCATTTTGAATTAATTTTTACGTATGCTGTGAGGTACATGTGACATGTCTGTCACATGTAGCTATCCAATTGTAGTATGTTTGCTTTGAACATTATTTAATTGTAAGTTTATACACTTTTTTTCTGAGACCACGTCTCAGAGGCTTTGAACCCCTGCCTCACTCCCCCAAGTGTCGGGTTACAGACATGTTCTACCATACCCAGCTAATGTAACCTTTAACTGGGGCTCCGTTTAACAACTGGGTCACAAGATTCCTGAGGATCGAACAGCAGCTTTCTTGAGCCCATGCGTGTGTGGGCTGGCCCCAGCATGCCATGACTTCCACCACACACTGTTTAGACAGCTTATCTGGCTATTAAAGGCTGCAATCTGGAGTTTTTTCTTGAGGAGCTGAGTGGGAGGATGGAAGAAGTGTGCCATGGAGCCTGGGGACGAGTGCTTGAGGACTTCTAGCCACCAGTCTAACCTCCATGATGGAGCACGTGGCCTGGTGCCTTGTGCTCCCCTTCTTAGCATTTTCTCAGCTTCCTCCTGGCTTGGAGGAAGCTGATCTCATCCCAAATGGATCTGGAAGTTCCACAGTTGAACAGAGACCCAAGCTCCAAAGTCATCCTTTTCCTGGGTAGTGTCACCAGGTCAAACCCAGGGTGCCCAAGTTACCTCTGAATTTCAGAGAAGCGATGCACAGTGTTTGAGTATAAGCATGGCCCATGAGAGGTTTGGGACGTAGCTATTCTAAACGTAATTCTTGGGCAATGTTTGGGCTGCACTGATGGTGCATGGAAAGAATTTTGTGTTGCTCGTGTGAAATTCAAATTTAATGGACAGGTCTACATTTTATTTTTTGAGACTGGCAAGCCTGTCCTATGGTCAGTTTTCGTCTTCTGGTTTTTTTGGTGGTACTGGGATTGAACTCAGGGCTTCATGCTTGCTAGGGCAGGCACTCTACCACTTTGAACCACTCCACCAGCCCTGTTTTGTGTTGAGTTTTTTTGAGATAGGGTCTCGGGAACTATTGCCTAGGCTGGCTTCGAACCATGACCCTCCTGATCTCTGTCTCCTGAGTAGCTGGGATTACATGTGTGAGCCACCAGTTCCTGACTCAGTTTTCTTCTTTGTTGTTCTCATCCTATAGCAAAAACCCAGACCCTCAGAATGGGACGGGCCCAAGTCCCTATGCATTTTACAGATGTAGAAACGGAGTCCCAGATAAGGACTTGGCCTTTGAATAGGGAATCGCTGTGGACATTGAGGGACCTCCATGAGCTCCCCAACTTGTGTTTCTCATGAAATCAGAACATTTTCTGAGTATCTCCTCTGTGTCGGCCCTGAGCCAGTGCCAGTGCCAGGGGATGGTGGGGACAAGCCTGCCCTGGGCCTGTAGAGCACAAGAATCAGGAGTTCCCTTTAGATATATTATTAAGTAAGAGACACTCCAGGGAGGCCTGGCTCTGATTCCCACTTTGCCGTATATTGGCTGTATGACAAGTTGAACCTCGGTTTCCCCTTTCCTAGCTTGAGACAAAGGGACTTGGGGATTGTCATTTGGGTCCAGTGGGAATGGTGCAATGACCCTGACCCAGGGTCAGGGAAAGAGAACAGAGGTACCCTGTTGATGTGTGGTTGTTTCCCACAGGTTGACTGACATCTTGGGCCACCCAGACGATGTGGAATGGAGGCCCCAGAACCTACCTGCCCTGGCCCATCTACCAGGGACAAGCCAGCTCTTGCACCTGGTCTCTCGGGGACCCCAAGAGGGCAGGCCTCACCTCACCTGACCCTGGGCCCAGTCATTCTGCCTCAGGAGCAGAACCTGCCACCCACTGTGTTCCTGAAGGCCCTGCCCATCCCCCTGTACCACACTGTACCTCCTGGGGGCCTCCAGCCACGTGCACCCCTGGTGACAGGCAGCCTGGATGGAGGCAGTGTGCCCTTCATCCTTAGCCCCTTGCTGCAGCCTGAAGGACCGGGCCCCACACAGGTGGGCAAGCCAGCTGCTCCAACATTGACAGTAAACATCGTGGGTGCTCTGCCTGTTCTGTCCCCGGGTCTGGCCCCAACGCTGGGCAGCCCAGGGAAGGTGAGAAATGCCGGAAAGTACCTGTGCCCACACTGTGGCCGGGACTGCCTGAAGCCCAGTGTTTTGGAGAAGCACATCCGGTCCCACACGGGAGAGAGGCCCTTCCCATGTGCCACCTGTGGCATTGCCTTTAAGACCCAGAGCAACCTGTACAAGCACAGGAGGACGCAGACACACCTCAACAACTCCCGGCTGTCCTTGGAGTCTGAGAGAGGCAGGCACAGCCTCCTGGATGAGGGGGACAGGGTAAGAGAGCCCTCCACAGCAGATGGCACGGGGGAAAACCAGAACCAGGGGACACCGGAGACAGCTCTTTCCCCAGGTCCCCATCTGTCCCTTGCTGCCAAGAACCTAGAAATGAAGACAGAAGCCACTCCTAATCCTGATTCTACACTTGTCCACAGAGAGGGTCCTGTGGACTCCACCCAGATAGCATCGCCCCTGGCTAGCTCTCAGCCACGGAGGAAGCTGCCAGAACAGAAGCCATGCTCCCTGCCACGGCAGCAGGGGATGACCTTGGAAAAGCCATGGGACTCCAGGGCCTCGGAGGGCCGGCTCAGGAAGTGTGAGAGCACCGACTCGGGCTACCTGTCCCGCTCGGACAGTGCAGAGCAGCCGCCTGTCCCCTCCAGCCCTCTGCACAGCCTGTCAGAGCACAGCGTGGAGTCCGAGGGGGAAGGAGGCCCAGGCCCGGGGCTTGGGGGTGCCAGGGCCGAGTCCGGGGCCCCAGGGGCCAGCCTGGAGCTGGAGAAGAAGCAGCTGGAGGAGCGCATCGCCCGGCTCATCTCACACAACCAGGCCGTGGTGGACGACCCCCAGCTGGACCACGTGCGGCCCCGCAAGACTGTCCTGTCCAAGCAGGGCAGCATCGACCTGCCCATGCCCTACACCTACAAGGACTCCTTCCACTTCGACATCCGGGCACTGGAGCCTGGCCGCAGGAGGGCTGCCCTCTGTCCAGCGCGCTCCACCTTTACCCCCCTGGACAAGGCACGGCCCCTCTTCTTCCACTCTGTCCCCACTCAGCTCTCTACCACGGTGGAATGTGTCCCCGTCACCAGGAGCAACTCACTACCCTTTGTGGAGGGCTCCAGGACATGGCCGGAGCCTCGGGACCTGCAGGATGCCTGCCCCAGGCTGCAGAAGCCCCTGAGTCCCAGGCTTGCCCCAACCCGGGTAGGCTACCACTCTGGGCTGACGTTAGCAGATGTCCCCAGTGGTCACCCTCGGGCCCTGGTCAGGCAGGCTGCTGTGGAGGACGTGCCATGTGTCCCCACTGGAGATACCTCAGCCCCTGCAGAGGACCTGGATGGAAAGAAAACTCCTGCAGGGGATGGGGCAGCTAGCAAGAGCCGGGTGGCCAGTAAGAAGACCAACCAGAGGAAACTGAAGATGTTCTCCCAGGAGAAATGGCAGGTGTATGGGAATGAGACATTTGAGAGAATCTACCAGAAGATGAAAAGCCGCCACCAGGGAGGCCAGAAAGCCAGGAAGGTGAGAGCGGGCCACGAGACAGAACTGAATCTTCCTCATCAGGAAGAGGTGGCTGGCGGCAAGGGCGTAACCCTGTCCCAAGAAAGTAAGACCCTCATCCTTGGGGACATTTCTGTAGAGGACAAGCCCTGGAGAAGTCTGCCAGCCCCAGAGGATTCTTTGGAGACTGAGTCCCCTCAACAGAAGAAGACTGTGGCTGGAACAGGAGACACTGACCAGCTCCGGGTGGCCAGGCCTGAGTCATCCCCCACCCTGAGCAGTAGGGTCCCACACCATTTGGGCAGCAGGAGCCCTCAGTTTCCTCCAAAGGGGAGGATGGAACCAGGGTGCCAGCTGCCTCCATCGCCTAGACCCCTCCAAAGAGAGGATTTAGGGGATTCCAGGCTGATTTTGACAGACCCCAAGCTGGAAAGGGGCCTCCCCAGTGGTGGGAGTGTGAAGGAGACCTGTCCCTGGGCCCAACCTGTCCTGAGACGGCCAAGTGGTGGCTCTGGGGAGCCCCAGTCATTAGAGGACAAGCTCCCCTCGGAGAGGAAGAAGCTGAAAGTCGAGGGGTTGGACCCCCAGGAGCAACTGAGGCTCTTGGGAACAGAGACTGCGGGTGGCTCTGTGCAGGCTGCCTCCCTGCCATCCCAGAAGCAAGATGGTGACCCGCAGGAGATGCCAGGTGGACCACCTGAGGATGCTCTGCCCGTGGCTGCACCCCTGGAGTCCTCTTGCACCTCTCCAGCTACTGCTGCTGTCCTGAAGCAGGAAGGCCCAAGGGACAAGGAGCCCAGGCTGCCGCCTGCTGCCAGAGCCCCAGGGCACCATGTCCAGCTGGCTACCCAGCCTCAGCCTCCTAGTGATCTCACTGCTGTGGCAGACAGTACCTTTCCCCCAAAGTACCTCCTCAGGCTACCTCAGGGAGAGACCCCCCCTCAGCTGCCCATCTCTCGGGGGCAGGGACAAGACTCTCTCTGCACAAGTGGGCAGCCTGAACAACGGCGGGTATCCCTTGTTGGATCAGAACCAGGGACATCCCAGTCCCTCAGCCCTGCCTCAGGTCCAACCTCAGGTGAGACAGATAGAATCCTGGACCCCAGCTGGTCCAGGCCAAGCGATGGAAGAGAAGAGGCACAGGCAGGAAAGGAGAAGGCCCAAGTCAGTGTCCCAGCCACCAAGGACTCTCCTGGCTCTGCCACAGGTGTTCCTCAGGAGACAGCCTCCTTCCTGTCTGTGTGCAATGCCCACGTGGTCCGGGACCCGGGGGATGCAACCCATGCCATCCATGACCTCTGTACAGACAGGATATTGACAAGGGCCAGGACCTCTGGTGATCTTCTGAATCCCTGGTCACCCACCTGGGAGCTGGGGCAGCCTCTTGAGAGTGCCCTGGAAGTCCCTTCCATGGAGCCCCTGGCCGGGCTCAATGTCTCCTGTCCCTTCCAACCCGGCTCTTTTCTCCCAGCTCCCATGGGACCCCAGGGCATGGCTCTCGGCAGGACAGAACTGGCCCCGGCACGGCACTTAGGGACCCCCAGGAGCTGCAGGGCCCAGAGCTCCTTCCCCTCGCTGAGGGCCGAGCCCCGGCTCACGTGGTGTTGCTTGAGCCGCAGCCTGCCTCTGCCAGTGGAGCAGAAGGACAAGACTGCTTCCGTATACTCAGCTCTGCACTTCCCTGGTGACAGCCTCCAGGATGAGGGCCCCAGCATCCTACCCTTCAGCAGTGGAGGAAGGACCAGGACAAGCCCGGGAGGAGGAGGGCCAGTACAGACACCAGAGGTAATGTCAGCTTTGCCCCAGGTCTGGGGGCCTGAGAGAGATATTTAGCCGGCAGGATTTGTAATGATGGAGAGCAAAGATGAACCCATCCCTTGTAGCAGCTGTTGTCCATTGTAATGTCTTCTTAGCCTGCTCCCAAGGGAGGTGGGGCCACACACAGGATGGGAAAGAATAAAGCCTCCAAATGCAAACAAAATAAAGTCATGAGAAGCTAATTTTCAAAGTAAGGAATTATGTGCCAGAGACTCCACGTGAGATATTATTCATATCTAGACATAAAACTTTGAGCTTCCTGGTAACAGAGGCAAAAAAGAAAATGCCCTGAAAAATTCTCTGGGTAATTTAAGATTATAAACTAGAAATTCTTAATGAGAGATAGACTCTGGGCAGAAAACCAAACAAAGCAAAACAAAAAGAAACAAAACCAATAAAGATTCTTAAAAGGAGACGGTTGCTGTACCAGGAACTCGGGAGAAATGATTGCTATAATCAAACCCAAACCTACCTCTGAGGTACCTAGGAGCAGTGGTAAGAAGGGGAACATGGTAGATGTTGATAGAAGTTCTCACTCGGGGAGGAGAAGAGCCTGATGGTGGGGCAGTCCTTTCTTCTCCCTGAGAATGGAAAGTTTATAAGGGTTGTGTTGGGACTGAGTGTGAACCCACAGTCCAGTTTAGCCCTCCTTCCAAAGGTGAGGGGATTCCTGAGGAGGAGGACTTGGGGGGCAGGGGGGACCTGAGTTGTAGTATCCCACAAGTCTCCAGTCAACATGAAAGGTCTGGGCTTTCCTATGAGGGTCCAGGCTGGGAAGGGGTCCAGAAGGTCCCTTCCAGGCATACTGTGCGGTCACCTGGTTGGAGCCCCTGATGGACTCAGGCCATTTGTCACTGCAGCCTTTCCCTACCTTGATTTCCACTGACAGGCATTCTGTCTGCTGAGAGAACCCGTCAGGGTTGTCCTCACCCAGAGGGTTTTGAGCAGTGTGATCCCAACATTCCTGGTATTTTCAGCTCTCCTACCCAACGGTCCCAGGGATGAGGGCCCAGGACCCGGTGTTGGATCCAGAGCGGAAGAAAGGACTGTGTCGTAGGAGGGTGAAGACATCTCGTGGGGACAGCAGGCAGAAAAAGCTGAGACTCCATCCCAAAAGGTAGGACGTGTGGCCCCTCTACCCTTTCCACATGGGCCCAATTTCAGAACTGCACACTTGGGGGCTTAGCTCAGCCCCCAAGAAGAACTGAACGTGGGGTTCAGAAGCCGTCTGTGCGTCAGAGGCAGGGCTCCTATTTTGTGAGGCCTGGAGTTCTGTGGTCACAGGGCTGTGTCCGTGTCCCACCAGCCTACCCCACACAACTCCACCATTACACTGCTTGCATTCATACCTTTCTCAGGCCAAGAATCCAACAAATATTTGGAATAACTGGGGGCTCCAAGCACATCTGTCCAAACTAAGTCCCGAGGAGCATGTGATTATTTACAGCTTTTATTGTTTTTTTAATTATGTAAGCAGAAAAATTAGAAAATACAGATGCGTGAGAAGAATTGCTAAAGCATCCTGGTACCCTCCCTCTTGGAGGTAATGCTGTGGACATTTAAGACGCTGTCTTCTAGATTTCTGTTTGAGGATCATGTGCACCCATCCCTGCCAGTGAGAAAAGGGAGGCACATGGTTGTCATACCACTCTTTCATCTGTCATTGTCTTTTTTTCAAACCCTTCAGGTCACTCATGACACACAGTGAAAAAGCAAATTCTTCAACCAAACCAGCCTCCTAGAAGCTTCTCATTGTCCTGTGATCTCCTGTCCCACTTGGTGTGACCAGGATGCCCCTGCACTCACCCCCTTTCATCCACACTCAGAGCCAGGTGCCCGATACAAGCACAGGCCACACCGGGGCTTGGCAGACCCCCTTCCTAGAACGCCTTTGGCTTCTCCCACGCTGCCCAAATTTGATCCGATGACTAGAAACTCTTCAAGAGGTGACACAAACTCCCTGTTCTCTCCTGCAGCCGCTGAGGCCCTCAGGGGCTGCAGGCCACCTCTCTCTTCTGAGTCTCCTGCTGCCTGGTATCAGCTGTGTGCTGGTCTACACGTCCTGCACTTGCCGTGTACCAGGCACCATGCATTATTTCATTAGAGCCTACCAGGACTCCAACAGGTGGGCATATTATTATCTCCATTTTTCATTTTCTTCTTTTTAGGGTTAGGGTTTATTCAGAACAGCCACTCTTTCCTCTCTTGCACCTAAGGCCTGAATACAGATATCTTAACCCACTCCTGTGCAGGTGCACTAAGGCACAGCTTCTCCACATTCGTGTGGCCTCGTGCTACCTTGATGAATTTAGACTGAAGTTTGGGGCCAGAGTCAAATACAGACTTGATTCAATTAAAAATAACCCTTCCAGGGAATCAGAATTAGTAAGAAAACTTTGTTCAAAAAGAAAGAAAACTAAGATTCACCAGCAGGACTACTTCTGCTAAGAAGCTTAAAATGCTTCTGTGATGTCATTTTTTTGGTGTTTATTAATTGTACAATTTTTGATATTTCCATACATGTAATATACTTTGATCAAATTGTCCCTCTGTGACTCTTTCTCATCCTCCCTTTTGCAAACAATACTTAACAGGATTCCTGGTTCTATTCTATTTTCATATGTACATATTTTGATCATATAATGCCCCCTTTGCCCTCTCCTTTTTCTCTCTCCTCTCCCACTGGTTCCCATCCCCAAACAGTCCCTATTTTATAGTCCTGTCTTTTTTTCTTTGGGCAGCAGGTGGGTTTGAACTGAGGGCCTTATATTTAATAGGTAAGTGCTCTACCACTTGAGCTAAACACCCAACCCTTTGTCATTTATTTCTTCAGGTCTAGATTCTGCATATGAGAGAGGACACATGGTATTTGTGTTTCTTGGTGTGGCTTATTTCACTTAACATGATGGTATCTAGTTCCATCCACTTTCCTGCAAATGACACAGCTTCGTTTTTCTTTGTGGCTGAATAATACTCCATTGTGTATCTATGCCACATTTCCTTTATGCATTCCTTGGTTGGTGGGCACCTGGGCTGATTCCATAGCTTGGCTGTTACGAACACTGCTGTTATAAACATGGGTGTGCAGGTGTCTCTGTTGTAAGTTGACTTACATTCCTTTGGGTTAATGCCCGGGAGTACATTGCGAGATCATGTTATCATATGGAAATTCCAGTTTCAGTTTTTTTCGGCAGGTACTGGGATTTGAACTCAGGGCCTCATGTTTCACTCTACCACTTGAGCCCCTCTGCCAGTGCTCTTTGTTTTCTTGATGACTGCCATTCTGACTGGGGTAGGATAGAATATGAATGTCGTTTTGATTTTGCATTTCCTTTCTGGCTAAGGATGGTGAGCATTTCTCCATGCATTTATTAGCTATCTGAACTTCTTTCAAGAACTGTTCATTTGTCCATTTGTTGATTGAGTTGTGTGTTCTTTTGCTGTTTAATTTTTAGTAGCTCTGTTTTTTTCTCATTGAGGAAACCAAGACTCAGAGAGGTCAGATAACCTCTAACCAAGGGCCCAGATTTGAACCATCAAGTCTCACTCTGGAGCCTATGTGCCAGCCAGTGGCTTGCCCTGGTTCTCCTGGCTAGTCTTGGGCATGCCAGTCCCTGGTGTCTTCTGAGTAGGATTCCATAGCTCTGGGGAGGAGCCTGAAGCTGGTACTGCCTTGCAGAGTGAGCTTGGAGGAGCAAAGTGTCTTGTCCTTCCCACTGCCCATCTTTTTCTTTTCTTTCTTTTTTTTTTTTTTTACATGTACTTCATTGCATTGATCACTCAGGGCTTTATGACAAAAGCTCCTTTCAAAGTGGCCTGAGCAAAAGAAGGAACTGCCTGTCCCACAGGCTTCCAGGCCTAGACATCGGTCCCAGCCCCAACAGGTGGGGTGAGAAGGGAAACTTGGTGCTGCTCTCAGAGGAAAGGAGAATGCACACTACAGACCCAAGTGTAGCTGCCCTGGGGTTGGCGACCCAGGGACCTTGACATGTGACCATTTCCCATGGGCATCTCACTGAAAGGGAAGAAGGACTCAGCTATATCTGAGTAATGATTGGTGAGCTGAAGGCTCCAGGAGCAGGGCAATGTGGGGAGAGGGAAAGAGTGAGGCCTCGCTATAACTCCCCCCTTCCCAAGACTGGTTAATTCAACAGCATTTATTGTGTCAGGAACCTACACACTGGGGAGTTTCTCAAACAAGGCTAAGAGATCCAAGTATCCCAAGAGGCCTGGAAACATCTCTTCAGGAGACTTTACAAACCTATTAGCAACTCTGGGACCAACCACAGTCCACATAAACCTCACTGGGTTGATGCTCTGTCTAAAAGTTTTCCAGCCACACGATAAAAATCAGATTTCCACATCACAATCTCAATTTGTCTTGAATCATCACGCGCTCTGAAGACACTGAACCTGGCTTCTTCATGGCACAGCTGGCCAGAGAGAAGTGGCCATCCCTGGTGCGTAGGAGCTGTGCCTTCCAGCTGGTGTCAGCCCCTACTGCTCTGTCGTCTGACAGTCAGACTGTCTCCCTGAGTTATGTAACGCACCAGGTCCTCCTAGGCATTTGAGTTGAACAGTTGACCTTGGCCTTAACAGTTGACCTTGTGGGAGTCAAAAGAAGTCCTTCCTTTTGAGTGAGCTCCATAACAAGAGCTTAGAGGGGACATGAAGAGACAGGACACACAGCACACAGGGGGTATGAACCAGGACATGGAGCTCCATCCCGCAGTCTCTGAATATGTGTCACAAGGGTGAAGCCACAGAGATATTTGTGTCCATCAGCATTCACTGCTTGGTCATGACTCATTTATTATCTGTTCCTTTATTGGCTCATTTCCAGTGAATCCCAACTTTGGGGCCTTTGTGCTTATTGGTCTTATCTCTACCTGCACACCCATTTCTGTCCCTCACCTGCCCCCTCTGCTCCCTGTCTCAGCAAAAATATCAGCATCATAGTGGGGACCTCTGAGCTCCAGTGGCTCCTGCTGCATTCCTCCCCCTGTTACGGGCTTTGTTTCCTTCCAGCATCCCACCCTCCGTACCTGTGTCTGTTTGGGTGTTTATTAACTGATTAACCCTCTAGAATATGGGCCCCATGACAAGGCCACAGCTGCCTCTCTTAGCTTGTATTCTTGGCACTCAGCACAGTGGCCAGTACAGTAAGGACTAAGTGTCAGCTGTCACTCCTGTGTTTTCAGTATCTACTGAACTTGGCATGTGGACAGGTTAGCTGCTGCTGGGTAACAGGTTACTCCAGGACTCGTGGGCTTCAAATAGAAAATACTGACTGTTTCTCAAGAGTTTCTGTAGGCCAAGAGTTCAGGAGAGGCTTAGCTAGGTGAGTGTGGTGTGGGATCTCACAGAGTGGCAGTCAGGGTGTGGGCTGGGTTGTGGGCATCTGGAAACCCAGATGGACCACTAGGTGGTCCACTGTCGAGGTGGCTCCCTCTCATGGTGCTGGTGGTTGGCAGAGGCCTCAGCCCCACCCCATGTGTGTCTCCCTCTCTATGGTGGCTTCATCATTCTCCTGGTGTGATGACTGGCTTCTCAGAGTGACAATTGGGAGAGGGCGTGGCAAAGCCACAGCATCTTTTATGACCTTTCCTTGGAAGTCATGTTACTCTGCAATATCCTGTTCATTCCCCAGGCCAGCCCTATTCCTCACACAAGGGAAGTATGCAGGGCATGACAACCAGGAGGAATTGGGGGCCACCCTGCAGGGTTTGGGGTGGATGTGCTTCCTTCTGTCATGGTGCCTCTGGTCCAGAGAGGGAGGCAGGTGGATGAAACCCAAACATAAGGTAAGGCAGGTTGTCATAAGAAAACCCAGATGGGCCCCAAAGCCATAAAGCCTGGAGACATGAATTCTAGTTTTGGGTCCATTGGATACCGATGACCCCATTTATTTCAGAAAACAGCCCTGTTGGGGAATATTGGAGACAGAATTCTAGGATTGTTCCTAAGATTACCCCTCCCTAGTAGATTATGTCCTGAATAACCCTCCTCTTGGGCTTGGGTGGGTCTGAACTAATCAGGCCCTTCTAAGAGAGAATCTAGATGTCAGAGATGGAAGACAGCTGAGAAATAAGTGTGCAGCCGACGATGTCCTGTTGGCTTT